ATTATGAGATGGAAAGATGCTATAAAGTCGTGGGTTACTATGAGATGAGGAGATGCTATAAAGTCAGGGGTTACTATGAGACAAGGAGATGGAGATGTTATAAAGCCAGGGATTAATATTTCAATCCATTCATTAATTATGATCTGTATTTATGAGTGTCATGATTTTGATTATAATACATATTTGTCTTTTCCACTGTTATTCTTCATTTCAATTTGTATGTTACCTCTATTACTCTGTAGGATGCAGTACCAAATACATCAGTACATAAATTATTACATCAACTTTATCCACATCAATTTTTACTGGGAAAGGAAGGTCAAACTGCTGTCATTGATATACTAAAGGTAAGATGGTACCCTTGTTTTGACACTTCGCATTTGATGAAACATGATGCATAGATGTTTCTTGTAACATTGATTTATTGATTCACATATATGAATATTTCACCATATACATTGATTATAACATTGTTAGCCTGAGTATAGCAATCTGATTGGCTGAAACAAGGTCTTGACACTAGAAGGCTTGTGATTCTGCCCCCAAACTGGCTCAAATATCTAGTAACTAAATAGAGATGCACGAATGTGAGCACTATGCATGAATGTGAGCACTCTTCGAATTGATTGCGGGTGTACATGTATGATCAAGTGCCGAAAACGGGGAAATCTGGTATAAGTACTAAAAAATATGAATTATTATTGCCCAAAATGTGCATTTTGCAAGAAATCTCTCCATGAGGAACATGCGCGTCCATTGCAGCATATGTTTGAATTGAACTGTGATGTCATTGGCACAAATGTCACTCACTGGCTTGCGCCTGTTTCATAAATGTAAGAATCAAAACTAATATATATTTTCTGACTTTTTTGGCTTTGTTTATCTGTGGAAATAGCGTATAGTTTTTGCCCTGACATTTGAATATGAAATTGAGAACACGCATTACAAATTCTAACCCCTCAAAATGAATTACAACACCATTTTACACAAATCCATGTGGAAATCATTATATAACATATCCCTTAAGTTATCTTCCAAAAGCAAGGTTATGATAGTTGCACTATGTTTACTTTAAGTTATGGAAAAAGCTGTAACCAAAGAAACTCAGTTTGAAACCTGTTTGAATTGTACTTTGTATGCATCAGCTGAAATGTGAAATGTGTATTTATATACATTTCCTGTTTATTTCAGAAATTCGAATTATTTGAACCAGATTACACAAAGATAGTACATCATGTTATCGGTAATATACACAATGTGATCAATGCTGAGAATTCATCTGCACTGGTAACTTTACATGGACATGGTTTGAATTACCCAATACAGGTATCTACCGGTATATCACTTCTGTTATGCTTCAACAAATTATAGAGTTCACAGAGAAATCACATTTGTGATTGTTTTATACATTTACTTATTCGAACACTTTTAGCATATTTATTATGTCAGACGCACAAAACTTATTCTTCTTGGATTTCCCAAACAAAATCCAATTTCTTTCATGAGTAGCATAGTGGTTGTTAAATCAGACTCATGACTGGTTGTCGCAAATCTTACCTAAGATTCAACCCCTGCATACCCTGGGTGAATCCACTTTACCCTAGGCATTTGTATCACAGACTAAATTGAATCCATTAGCTCTAAACCTTTAACATTAGATGTCTTGTTTCATTAGATTGGATCTAAACCTTTAACATTAGATGTCTTGTTTCATTAGATTGGATCTAAACCTTTAACATTAGATGTCTTGTTTCATTAGATTGGATCTAAACCTTTAACATTAGATGTCTTGTTTCATTAGATTGGATCTAAACCTTTAACATTAGATGTCTTGTTTCATTAGATTGGATCTAAACCTTCATTAACATTAGAAAACTTTTTCCACTAGACCTGAACCTTCATGACATTGTGACTTCAAATTTGCTGACATTAATTATCCAATGATATTGATCAGGACTTTATGGGCTGTATCAATATCTATTGGCATTGACTTGTTGATAATTCCCCTAATATCAAGCAGGTCTATGATATTCTTAATAACATGCTTGTAGCTGTAGGTGTTTGAAAAATGAATGAGACTCTGGTAGAAACTAATGTTAATGTGCTCTTTCCTCCTCAGTAACAACTGGTAACCGTGGTATCAAAGCAGTTGATGAGTTTCATCACTTTATTGATACACCATCTCATGACACACTGATGGCTGACATGATGGCGTCACATATGGTGCATGATTTTT